CATACTGTTGATTGAAATACAGCTAAAAGATTGGCTTTATATGGGGAAAAAACAAGATAACGGAATATCACAGAAGCCGTGGACAGAGTCAATGAGAATTTCTCGCAGCGTCTGGGCAGATTTAAAGGCTAAACGAGGAAAATTTAAAGACAATTGGGTCAGGGAAATCTATGCAAAAACAAAAAGAATGGGAAGAGGATACTCGGGGACAAATGAAATTCACAAGGCAAATACAGGACAGATGTGAATTTCAATGAAAGCCAGGCATTTTGTCATATCATATTCTTTGGGGGTATTGTCGATGAAGCAAACGTATATTTGCTATAACAATCGACTACGCTACTAATTTTTCAAATAATTTAGATATGGAAACCGAGCAGAGGGGACAATAACAGTCTGTCCCAGAGTGTGTGAGTGTATACCTGTAGTAGGGGAGAACTGGTAGCTTGCATGACTAGGGAGGTTACCAACCGAGCATATTGACAAGTGACTAGAAAGTTAGGATTAGGTGGAACTGTCAGTTTGAGAGACAGGAGTGTGCTTTACATGATTTACGAGTGAAGAGGGAAAGCTATCAATGTTTAGACTAGCGGTTTCGAACGAAGACATACACAGGGCCCCAGAGAATGAGAAAATGGAGTGGGGAAGAAAAAGAGTGACTGCGTCATGTCTCCGAAGCCGAAGGTGATGCCTAGGCATGAAAAGCACTGGCTTTTAGATCCCCGTATATGACGTAAACAGGGATCGAAATCTAAGACTCATAAGCAGCCAAATAGACAGTGATTTTCATGTGCAGAAGGGAACAACTGACAGGCGTGGCGGAGGAAGGCTAAATGAAAGTCACAAGCCCTGCAAACGGCACCTGAGGCCGGTGGTGAAGGTGAGTACACATTAAATCCACTTGAAGCGACACTCTTAGGCGACATTTTAAGAAACGAGAACATTGAATGGTTTGGATAAGTAAAGGAGCCATAGGAAATGAGATTGGAAGAAAGGGATATAGCACCAGAAGAGAGGATAAAAAAGGTAGGATGATGCCATAACGATTAGACAGAAAAATGATCAACGGGATTAACTTCAGTTGTCAGTTTGATAAGTTGTAACTCTGTAATAACGATGAGGCCTCTTAGTGGCGATGCCGGTAAAACGTCCGGGAATTTAGGGTCAGATACTGAAAATCATCGTCAATACTATGGCAGAGGACACAGAACTGGGTACGTTCAGCAAGGTGCCAATTAAAAACCACACCATTTCAGCATCAAAATATGTGAAAATAAGTTGGCTCACCTCTCCATCTACCAGGTTCTGAGAGGCTTCATTACCCTTTATTATATAATTCTTCCCTCTCACCATCTTGTCCCTTTGGCTTTCTGGATAGTAACCATCCGATAAACTGCAAATTGTTGCTGTATCCTCTCCTTCGAAAGTTTCTATAGCAACTGTGGAGTCCTGGTCACTTGTGGGGGAGCAAGTAGTCAGCAGGCGGGATGAAAGCAAACGCGTTGCAGGATCGGCTTGGGACAGACCCAAATATTCAGTAAAGCGTTGAAGTAGCTGCCGAAGTTGATGCTGCCTTGCTGGGCCCATGGAGTGAACTTGGCCAGAATCAGGAGTAACAGCAGTTGTATCGGAAAGACAGATGTGGGCCAACCAGCGCCAAGAAAAGCGGGCCCAGTTGCAGCAGGTGGATGGACCAGCAAGATCAACCGATGAGGTGCCAAGCCACCAATCTAGACCCAGATCTCCAGAGAAAAGGACGACGGACGATGTGACTGGGTTTACTTGAGGGCCGACAGAAGAGACTCGATAGCCCAGAGAGGCCGACTTATGTCCGAATTTGGAGTATTCATTTATCAAAGAATCGGGCATATCTGGCTCTGAATATCTGCAAATTGGAGGATTAAGAGATTTAGTGCATATTAGCACAAGGTATGGGTTAAAATTTTATACAAGAAAATCCCTAAGCATTAAATTTGTTGAGTCAAGGCTAAATTGATATTCAACATAGATCCAAGCTTGTCCTTTGAAGAATAGGGTATCTATATCCCTATGGGGAACATATCTTGAAGTTGA